TGGCACTAGGGCGCTAGCTTTGGCAGCACATACACTAAATGGCACAAGGGTTTGAACCTAGGACCTTGTGCACGTTAGACAGGAACTCTGCTATTGATCTATATCCCCAGCCCTTTTTATTTTTATTTTGAGACAGGGTTTTGCTAAGTTTCACAGACTTGCCTCAAGATTATGATCCTTCTGCTTCATTATACTGAGTAGTTGGGATTATTAGGCATGCATGACCATGCCCAGATCAGAGAGATATTCTTAAAAATACCATGAGTGAGTGAAAGTGGAATTCTAAGACTGTTCAGGTAACCCACGAAGCAGAAAAAACAGAGAAATGAAAAAACAGAAACAAAAAACAAATCAGGAGGCTTAAGCTTTAACTTATCAATAATCGTGGTGACTAAGCATGACTGTGTCAACTTGAATGGCTTGGGCACCACCTAGGGGACTGGTAAAGCCCACTTCTGGGTGTGTCTGGGTGAGAGTCATGGAAGTGTGACCTTGGGTGCTATATGTGGTCCCTGGCCTTCTTCTCTGGCAATGTCCCTTTGCTCTGCTCCCCAAACAACATGAATTAAGTGGCTTTGTCTGGCCACACTCTTCCGCCATGATGGTTTTGCCTTGGAACTGGCTGACCATGTACTGAACCCCCTGAAACCATGAGCCAAATCAAACCTCTCTTCCCTTAGGTTGTGGGTGTTGGGTACTGTGTTCCTGCGATGGGAAAGGTAATATAATAGCTATAATTATATTGCAGTAATTATGTAAATAATAGAAATAAAAGGAAGATTAGCACCATAAAGTTAAAAACATAGGGCCAGGGATTTAGCTCAGTGGCACCATGTCTGTTTTACAAGCACAGGGTCCTGAGTTTGATCCTCGGTGCCAGAAAATAAATAAGTAAGTAAGTAAATAAATAAAAAGAACCAACTATGTGCAGTGCATAAGAAATTCATTTAAAATAGTATAACATATGAGAAAATGAAAAAATGGAAATAAAGTGTCTGTAAATGGGGAGGGAAAGAGGGGGTGAAGGGAGGGCAGGGACAAGGGGAAAAAATGAGAACCAAGACCTGTCATGTAAAGGTACAAGATCCCAATAATGAATGTAACTGTACTGTATACCTAAAAAGTACCAGTAAACTCAATAAAAAGAAAAAAAAATAGTTTAACAGTCAAATTGAGGGTAAAATAAAGGAAAAAGTTGTGTCATGAGAACATTAATTAAAGAAAAGCAGGACAGAGTTCAAAGCAGGGAAAATTAACAGAGATTGAGAGAGACATTACACATCATAAAATAGTCTGCTAGGAAGATGTATAAAGACCTAAATATATATCAAATAACAGCTGCAACATATGAGAAACAAGAACTGATAGACCTGAAAGAAGAAATGACAAATCTCTAACTAAATTGGGGATGTCAATGTCTTCCTCTCAACAACTGACAAAACAACTAGATAGATCATCAAGGACCGAGAGAAACTAAACCAGCAGTACATAACTGAGATTTATAGACTATTCCATAAGCTCAGGTGACACATTATTTTCTCTCACTGATGGAAAATTCATGGGGATAGACCAGATCCATAAGAAAATCTCAATGAATTTAAAAGAATTGAATTCATACAGAATATGTTCATTCTCTGGCCTCAGTGGAGTTAAACTAGAAATTAAAATGAAAAAGAGCTGCAAATCTCCAAAAACATGGAGACTAAACAATATTATACTATGTGATCCATGGGTAAAAGGGGAGGTAGTAAAGAAAGTTTGAAAAATATGTGGAACTAAATAAAAACCAAAATGCAACAAATACGTTAAAATTTGTGAGGCACAGTTAAAATAATACTGGAAGGGAAATTTACGGCATTCAAAGTTTATGTTGAAAGAGAAGTCTCAAATCAAAAATGTAAGCTCCCACCTCAACTTAGGAAAAGAAAAGCAAAATAAACTCAAAGTCAGCAGGAAAAGGAAATGATGATGATGATGATGATGATGATGATGATAAAGGTAAGAGCAGAAATCAATAAAATAAAAAACAGAAAAACAGAAATGGAAAAACCAGTGAAACAAAAGCTGGTTCTTTGAGAAGATCAACAAAATTGACAAAGCGCTAGCAAGAATGAAAAACACAAACACTGACAAAGACACAAATACCAAGGAAGTCACAAGCACTGACATTAAGAATGAAACAGCTGCCTCGTGGCTACATGATTGGTGCTTGCCAATGTTATTCAAGTGACATAATGGCTTGTAATTCCAGCTACTAGGGAGACTGAGGCAGGAGGATTACGTGTTCAAGGCCAGCCTGGGCAACTTAGTGAGACCCTGTCTTAAAACAAATAGAAAGAGCTGGGTATGTAGCTCAATGGCAGAGAGCCCCTGGATTCCATCCTCGATCCTAAAAAAGAAAACAAAATAAAATCTTCACACTTTCTTTAAAAGAAATCAATAGCCCCTCCTTTCCCACCTACTTTTTGTGGGCTGCACAAGCCGAAGAAGTTGGGACGCCAGTGTGACCACACGAATAAGGGCAGTGCCCCACGGTGTGGGCAGAAATGGTACAGGAGTGTGTGTCCTACATGGGTCTCGTAAAGCAGAGCCTCCACGGCACACGGACGCCCAGTTAGTTGCTTAAGTCATTGTATGTTTGATTTTCTGTGTCCCGGCAGCTCATCCTGCATTCAAGCAGATATACCTCAGGTTGGGTTTAGGTCTTAGGAGGTTTACATATAAACAAGGTATTGTGGGCACTCCAGTCTTCTGGTCATGCGAAGGCTTCCATCCGTCCTGATGGTCATCCTTTACCTGTCCATGGATGAGGGTCAGCAGCCTTTGCACCTGTGAACCTAACCTTTCACATCCAGCAAGTTTCCCGCTTCCTGTTGTTCCCTGGCCACAGGAATCCTATCACATGTGAGCCGCAGTGGACCCCAGGATCTCCACAAGGCCACTTAAAGCTCTAACTGCCCACAATCACCATCCGGATACTCCCTCTCCTGGGTCTGGTCTTCACCTTTGAGATCCAGCCCCTGGCACCTGTGCACCCATCATTCCTCCTGGCCTAATGTTTCCTGAGGGGACAGCAGTTCCCCTCCTCTGTGAGCAAGTGGAGGCAGCTCAGGTGGCCCCTTCAGGTGGCTCTGCTTTTCTCTCACACTGTTCTCTGAGCGGTGCGTGACCTGGAGGAAAGGGCAGGGGAAGCACCAGGAGAAAAGGCAGATGAATTGATTTGAAATGACATCACTGTCATCACCAGTGACACTTTGCTCTCTCTTCTGCTCTTACAGTGACCTAGAGATTGGGTTTAAAGCGTCACCATGCCCACGCTGTCTCTCAGTTCAACCTCACTGTCCCTTCTGGTACTATTCTCAACCCCACCTCTTAGACAAAGGAGCCCAGGCCACGGAGGTCAAATAGGTGGCCCGAGATCACAGGCTGGAAAGTGCCCCTGCCAAGATTCAAATACCTTTCATGGACAGTGCCAATCTGCTCTCACCGAACCCATGAATAATTTATTGAAAATTAGTAATATGCAAATAAGAGGCAGGTGGGGGGGCTCATACAGAACTTTTGATGGATCAGGTTTCAACATCACCTAATGAGACTTTGTGGCTGACTGAGTCTTGGAGGCAAGGCCTGCGGCTCACTCAGCTTTGTTGTTCCTTCCTCCCAGGGGCTGGCAGACAGGCGAGACCTAAAACGTGCTCAGAATGCATCTGTACACACTTGCAAACAGCTGCCCCCTGGTGCGGTGGATAACGTGACCAGCCCTTACTGCAGGCCAGGGCCATCACGTCCACATTCACAGCAGGCCTGCGAGGCCGGGTTACACCCGCCCTGCAGAGGACGACCCAGAGCGCTAAGTGACCCAGTCTAGGAGCTGAGACCAGCTCGAAAGACCGCACAGTTCGTGCAGGGAGGGGCGGTTGGTTCAGAAGCATCCGGCAGGTCCACGCCTCCCTTCCAGATGTTCCTTTGGCTGTCAGGGACCTTTCTCTGAGGGACAGGCGAACTCCTACTTACCTTTCCGGCCCTGCCTGAGGCCACCTCCTCCGAGAAGCCGACTGCAGTCAGTTGCACTTGAGCCGCTGTTCAGGCCTGCACTTGGAGTCCTCGCGGGGCTTGGAGCTCCTGAAGGCCAGGGCTGGGTCTCCTCAAGGGGCTTCCATGGAGCCAGCTCCCCAAACACATCAGCGGGCCCAGCCTGTGTCGCCTTTCTTCCAGGGCCAAGGGCACCCCACTCCTGGGCTTTTCTCCATGAGCTCTGTTTCCCTTTCCTCTTCTCCCACCTCCTGCCTCTCATCCTCCTTTCCCAGCCCCCGACCCCCATCTCCATCCCTCGCTCTCATGGTTCGGTCCCCGCCCGGAGCCTGCGCTTCCC